ACCTTTTTTTTTTTTTTTCCCCAGGCGCTTGATAAAAAATTTCAGTCTTTCAAGTCTCACCAGATTTGGGAAAAAGCTAAGTGCTGCAATACAAAAATTTCCCAGATAGAAATCGGGATTTTTGGCCAACTCTAATCAAAATAATTTTCTTTGAAATGAAGGAAACAAAATACACCAATCTCATGCTTTTCAAAACAATTATTGCTCAAGGAAAACATCAATCAATACAACATGGACTATATTCAACTATATTGAATAAGGTCAATATTTATATGTTATTTGTATTTTAATAAGTGTGTTTTTAGACTCAGTTCAGTCCTGATTCAAATACATATATATTCCATTGGCTGAGTATATGCTTCTTGCTATGATAACTCAATATTTTCAAAACCAAAGAATACACTACTTTTTAGTTACTATGCAAAAATCACAGAAATTGGAAACAATTAACATGGGTAAATGGTAAAGCACTGATTTAATGAGAAGCTACCTGTACTTAGGCATAAATTAACAATTACAAATATTTTTTTAATAATTGCAACTGGTGTCTAGCCCTGTAGATGGAGAATTGTTTGAATGCTGTTAATTCCCCTGGACTATCAGAAACAGAAAACCTTTCCTAAATAATTCTGAGATTAAAAAAAACCAAACCAACCAGAAATTTTCCATCCTATTTTAGAAAAAAAAATTAGGAATCTAGGATTCTGCAAATTATTTAGCTCATGGCCTTTTTTCTTCCAAATCAAGTCTCAAAATTTTTATAACAGTCTCCAGTGTTTTGGAGAAGATAGATGTTCACAATGGATTATATTGAATTTATGGCCAGATTTGTCATTCTAAAGTTGGCACAGAGGTGATTTCAGGTGTTTATGAATGAGAAATATCCTACTTTCACCTAAATTTAGCACCTGTAGGCACCTAAACATAAACAACTCAAGTATCTAGCACCTGCCTACGGATAGCTAAGTTTGTTAAGAGCAACTCATGCTGGTTTCCGTCCAGAAACAACAAACAAAAAACAAAAATATAAAACAAACAAACAAAAATACTAAAAAAACCTCACCAAAAACCAAAACAAAAGAGATAGAGAGACGAGAAGACAATTTGATATTTCATTGTGAAGGGTAAGTGTATCTTCATGGGGTCGGGGAAAAGAGTGTGCATTATATTTTGTGGCATTTGCTGAAAAAGAAGCAGAAATTGGTAATTTGAAGTCCTTCACTGGGAAACTTTGAGAGGCTGTTTTGGTCTGACACTTTTCAGGCTCAGAGCAGACACTTGCAAATGTCTGAGACCAGAGCATCCCCCAGCATCCCATCTCACGTTGTCGTATCAGGGCAGGTACTGTGGTTCAAGGTCTAAAAAAAAAAAGGTGCCCAGCAATGTCAGAATACATCCTGGCCTTTAAAAAGGACTAAAATATCAACTCCTGGTTTAATAGAAGCTGTTACATTTTTACTCCTGGTAAAATATAAAGAAGTAAAATACAAATATTTCTCATGGTGCTTTCTAGCATGCTGCAGAGAGGTCAGGCATGAATTTAGGACTGCTGTGGCTAAAGGTGATGGGGCTGGTGAGAGTGATAGCATCACTTTTCCCTGACTTGAGGGATATCTAGGATATCCATGTTTATAGCTGAGGGCACTAGGGTTACTCAAGAGAGATTAAAGGGGAGGAAGAAGGGAAGATAAATTAAATTCTTGGATAACAGGACTGCAGCTGGATACAACAGCTGTAAAACTTGGTGCTGATTAAAGCTGGGACAACTGCTGCCAGCTTTACCCTTTTGCTAGTACAAGATACTGGGACATTGCCTGGCATGGGGAATTGCTGGGAAAAGCCATACCTGCAAATTTGAGGGCTAACCAAACATGTCTGGGTGCATGATTCCTTCAGGATGAAGTCTGAGCTGGCTGTCTCCACAGGATTCATTATTCCCATTGCACACCTGTGTAAAAAACAGTAATAAGAATAATTCCTTTGAGTTTTCATCTTATTTCTATTATTTTGGGTTCTTTTCTCTTCTGACGGCATATAAACTGCTTCATACCTAATATTAGCTCTGGTAACTTACCTAATAAATAAAAAATCCACAACCACTTGGTGGCCAAATGGCATTATGTATGTTGGATGTGATCTGCAGATGTAGCACTCCAAAAATGTCATCCTTTAGCTGATCTGGATGCTAGGCCACCAGCTGAGCAAGTGGAGAGCTCTCAACCTCGTTGTGCCTGTGAGCTATGGAACAAATGCTCTGTCAGGTACGTCCTTACAAATGCTTGCCACAACACCCAAGACAGCATTCAAAGCGATTCATTGTTTTTTAAGCTCAGATTTTTTTTTTTCTGACAATAAAAAACGAGGTTTAATGCAACAGTTTAAGACATGCATTGCTCTGCCATAGCCTATAGTTAGAACACAATGAGCAGAGCTAGCTCTAAAAGGCTGCTCTGAAAACTCTAGTATGAAAAATAAATTTGCACAAAGCCATCCTCCAACACTTTTGACCCACGGCCCTTTGTGGGAGCTGAACAGCAATTCTGGTCAGTGAAAAGGTGATCCAATCCAGCTTGGGCAATAACCTTTCCTGCAATAATCTATCCTTTCCAAGAATCAGGATATCCCAGTTTGTACCCTTATCCTCAAGTAATCTAATACTAAGGTTATATACTCTGAGTTTTTTACTGAAGTGCTTCTTCTATTCCATTTATTTTTCAAACAATTTTTAAAAATATTTCAAAATGTCTGATGAGAAAAGTTTAGAAATGAGGTGAACATTTACTTTTGATATAATGTCCTAATATTTGATATTGTCAGCATTTTCCATTATATTCTAGTGTACAAAGATACTTCTTCCTCTCAGTTCTAAATTGTTGTTTAACTCCTCCCTTCTTTTTCCATTTTATGGGCATTGACTCTAATACTGTACTGAGGAAATGGAAGTTACTAGGTTCTAAATAATGTGGATTAAAGAAAAAAAAAATACAAATTAAGACAAGAGACTACTTTCTAGTAAAAAATACTTAAAAATAATTTTAAAAAACCACAAAAACAAAGAGATCCACAGCCCACACTCATTGAAATATTGGACAAACCATAAGAAAATATCTGATTACCTGGAGACATTTTTTGAGATTGAGTTCCAAAATTTGCATAAAATGTATCTCTAAAGAGACTTTAAGTGCTAAAAGTTCCACCAACTTCTTGGGAGGGAGGGTTTTGTGATTTATACATCTCCATTAAGTTTTCTGCTAACACAAATGATTACAGAAGCGTAAAAATTAAGTGAGAGAGTGGAAGTGGAATAGTCTGTATACTGCCCAAAAAAATAAAATGCCATTGCAAGATGAAATGAATTATCAGTGTGTCTAGAGGAGCAGACTGAAGCTTGAAGAACCACAAATACAACAAAGTGCACAAAACTGCAGCTTTAGCACCAAACCTCATCGTAATGAAGTGGATTTTTTTCCATCTCTGACCAGAATGTGAATAAATCATCTGCCAAGATTTGCCTGTACTTCCTTGTTCTGGTCACATCTAAGTATTTTGACCATTCGTGATATATTCTTTGAAAAACAGATACTTCTCCTTTCCTTCCTATTTCCAGTTTGCACTTTTTTAATGAGACAGAACAAGGAGGTGCACTAAGTTTAAAATCCAACCAAAGATGGCTCAAGTGTCTACACTGCTATTTTAGAAGAGACATAACACAAATGCTTTAATTCCACATTTGCATCACCACGTTCAGTGCCTGTCTAGGAGCTCTCAAGTGTGATTCCTATATTTTGGTGTCTTTTTCTGTAATGGCAGACAAAAAATATAAACTTTTAGAAAGGCTTTCCCCTGGTGTAGTCAAGGACTGAGGTTAAATCACCTGACAGAGGAACAGCCATAATCCAAGCAGCCCTCCTGTGATTAGCAAATGGATATAAATAGACAGTGATATTTGTCCCCACTGTCTCAGGTAAAGCTGTAACTAAGGATCTCGCACAATAATTTTAGCAGGGTTTCAGTAATATAACACATTTATCTAATATAAAGTTCACAGAAAGTACAATGATCAGATTGTAAGGATTAATTCCCCCCATTCAGATCTTCCTTCACCCAAGAAATCTGCATCTTGGCAATGCTAGGAAAAAAAACTTAATTAATCACAAGAAACACCTTCCATTATTGTTTCTTTTCTCCATTTTTTTTTTTCCATATAGACCTTTAAGAGTTCATATTGGGGTTTTGATCTATTTGGCTTAGTGTTCTAAGTTATATTGAATTTAATCATGGGGTCACTTGAACCAAGTGGCTTTGCTGTTTCTAATCTACTAACTGCACATTTTTGCTGAGATTGGAAGGGACAAGTCCTATTAGTACTCTGACACCACAGGTCAATAACTCTTTATTTCTTCTATAATTTTATTTTTCATTGTGCCATGCTTTTCAGTTTTCCCAGTTCATACTGGGAAATTGAAATCACCCATCACTACAGCCTGTTTGTTTTCTTATTTTCTTCATGTTGTGCTGAGGGCTGCTGCTCTTTCCCTTATACTGATGGCTTGTTCCAGGAGCAGCCAGCATTCTTTTACTTTCCCTAGTCCACTGCTAGGTGTGCATGCATCAAACTAGAAAGAGTTATTTTAGAAGAAAACACAAGTTTTCAGGTAGAAAAAGTATTCAGCAGATTCCTCACATATTTCTCATCTAATTCTTTATATTTAATTAAGTTTGACCTCCTCGACAAACTCTTCAAGGACATCACAGGATCAGTTTAAGGACATCATCTGCACGCTGCAGCTGAATTCCCCATCCTCAACAACACCAACTTTAGGAAAAAAAAATTCTCAAAGCTGTCACTTCATATTACAAAAAGCATTAAGGCTGGGTCTATGCAAGCCAAACCTCTAATCAAAGAATCCCAGGATGGTTTTAAGCCACTGCCACTGGCAGAGCAAGTCTTGTCCCTCCTGCCCCACAGCTGCCCCTCGTCAGTCATGCAGCCCCCCAGGAAACACAGCGTGTAGAAAACAGGAGATGACTGAATAATAAAACTTTTTTCTATTAGTTTATCGGAAAGAAACATCAAAATGTGCAGATTCTGTTGTGCAATGAAGTTTTCTGCTGGTCATTTCTTCCTTTGTACAGCCTGCTTAGGTGCTGCATGCTCTTATCCTGCAGCTTACATTCAAAGTCACTATCCCCCTACTTAGCAAGAAAGTAATGATCACTACTTTAGATAAATTTTTATTTATATGTATTATTATTTATATACATAAAATTGATATCTATTATATACATAATGATCAATCTAAGTCCTCAGATATATTTTTGTCTTTATGGTTCCTGTATGATAGTAGGAATCCTGTACAAATAGTACAAATGTTCTATTGATGATACCAGAAATTATAATTCTTACTTTGGATGTGTGGGAGAACACTAAAAATAAATAATAATAAAAAACAAAAACAACAACAACAACAAAAAAAAACCCACAAAAGAAAACAAAAAACCAAAACAACAACAACAACAAACCCAAAACAAAACATAAAACCCAAAAAAACGAAAAACCAAAAAACCAAAAACACAGCTGAGATTTCCAGAGAAAAGAGCAAATATTTTTATTTTCTCCGTTACCTGAAAAAAAATTATAATAAAATAATTTTTAAGTAATCCTGTTATTTATATCTTCTTCTTCTTTTCAGATCACATGTCTGATGATTGCTGGGGTCTGAAAATTGAGAATGTCCATTAAAAGAAATTACAGTAAATTTCTTGCCTACTCACAGGGCATGGATTATCCTCAGTCCTCTCATATTATATAGAGGCAATGTTTATTAATATAGAGCCTTGAAATCAAGAACAAAACACACTTTAACTTCTGTCATAGCACAAATAATAAAGTGCAAGTTACTCAAATGGAGACATATCAATTTTTTCAATGATCTGAGTCAGAACACATAACTGATTTCTTTTAACTTACTCCCTAAGCATGGTGAAACTCACTGGTAGAAAGTTAGAGGTGTTACCAAATACATAAATCTGACATTTATTTTTCTTCCCTCTTTTCTAGTCAGTATGTATAGTTGAGATATTTTTCTGTATTTTAGTCTTACAGATGATGGTGTATATAACTTTATAAATATTTGTACATGTATATATGCACATTACATACATAAATATATATATGTCAGTCTCCATATATACATATATATTTATAAAGAGGGAAAGCAAGTTAGCATGGCTTTATATAAATGCATTGAGTTAAAAAGGGAAAAGGGAGAATAAAATTAGCTTGGCATGACTGTGTGAGATTAAACACTAAAATTATCCTCCTGCAGTCATATTTAATTCTCTAAACAGCTTTAACTAATTTGCTTAGGCACACTACATTTTAGTGAAACTAATGAAAAAACATGCAGCCTCTGTGTTCATTTTTGCTGAATACTCAAACCTCTAAATGTAATAAGACTTTTTTCTTAATCTTTTGTTTTAATCGTTTCATCTCCATAACACTCACTTTGCTAACTCAAGCTGCTATTTTAGGAAATAGCTTGTGCTTGAAAATGCTCATATTCCCTAAATTTATTAATTTAAGGAACTTAAGTGATATTCTTTACTATAGCCACCTATGGAATTAAACAAAAATTGCCAATATCAGACATTTCCTCTCAAGTAAAAAAATAAACAAAAAAAAAAAAAAATTAAACAAAAATTGCCAATATCAGACATTTCCTCTCAAGTAAAAAAATAAACAAAAAAAAAAAACAACCCAAACAAAAACCAAAAGATGAAACAAGAAGCAGGTAGCACTTGCTCACATTAATTTGACCACAGAAGAAAAAAAAGAAACAATAGCCAGACACCTAATTTATCACAGGTGTGGTTTTCACAGTTTTGTTTTCACTCTGTTCCAGGCATTAAATAAGTTAGAAAGACTATTAGTGCTGATTTGAATACATACCTTTCCTCATGTGTTTCTGAAAATTCACTTAGTGTACCCAGAACTACAGAGCTCATTCCTGAGAGCAGCAGACCTCCCACTGCTACTAAGAAAAGAACTGGTTGCACTCTTGTTTGGTATTTTTTCACTCTGTCAAAGTGTTTTACCTCATGCAAATCAATGGAAGCAGCTATTACTTAATCAAAGGGGCACATACAACTTCTGGTGGCCTTTGCTTGTCAATTCTTTGCTCTGTCTCATCCCATCAGCTTCTCATGGAGATCAAGCAGCAACCAGCAGAAGTGCCAACAGCAATTAGGTTTTCAGGCAGCCCAAGTGCTTTATCTTATTCTTTGTTTAGGTTTTATTTAGGTTTTCAGGTAAGGCACGTGCTTTACCTTATTCTTTGTTCCCTAAAGAGTGATATACAAGGTTTGCAGCTCAGGACTCTCCCTCTGGTTGCTGTTTGGTGGAAATCCATCCCAACCCCACCCTGAATCATTGCAGGCATTCTGGCTAAGCAAAAGAGTGCCAAATAGTTGGGGGGGTTAGGTTTAAATAGACAGGCAATGCCCCAAAAGGGTTAGTGTGTTGGAAGCTTGTGTGTAATGGTTTCACTCAGCAAGAATATAATTTTCTGTTTCCTGGTAGAACCAGTTTTCTAATGTGGTTGCTGCATAAAAAAAAAACAAACAACAAACCCTTACATTCTTCTTGCCTGCTGCTGGGCAGACTGATCTCTCTGCCATTGTTTACAATAATTCTGTCAACAGCGATTCTCTAACATTTTATTTAAATGTCAAATTGAAAGGTGGAATATACCTTGTGGTGGCTTAGATGAGCAGTCTAGGCTTGCCTAGCAGGTAAACCATTCAGGCAAACCAAGTATTTCTGGTTATAAGCAATAAGTACCAGCTTTCTGGTACTTTTCAGGACACTTCCTGTAAGGTAATAGCTTTTTCTCCATCCCTACTCATCCCATTATTCTTAGTCTGTACATGTCTGCATGACATGCCCAAACCACAAGTAACTTAATATTTGCTTTGATAAAATCAATATTAAAAAAATAATATTTCACAAATCTAACTAGAAACAATTTTCCTGTTTTACTCACTGACTGTTACTTTGTGTAAACTAAATACAGATTGCTCACAGAGAACTCTTAACAACAGCGCTGCAATTATCTTTGGCAAATTTCTGGCAAATTTAGATATTTTGTCTGAAAATTGCATGTGGAAAAAGGAAATGCAGCCTGTGGAACATTTGTAGTATATTAACACAGATTTTTGTTTAGTGCACACAGTTTTCTCAAAAGTTCAAGGATTTCAAAAGCTTAATGCAATTTTGCATTGTAGAAGATCTATGCTATCCTCTGTTGCCATTTCAATCAATCCAAATTTCACAAAATGTGTTGTTTAAATTGGTGTAATTCCATCCTAAATGCAAAAATCTAGGCCATATATTTCATGCTGTTGCTAACACTGCCAGAACCTGAACACTAATAAGGTGCTAATTAGGAACTGCCATTTTAAGTCTGTCGTGCTTTTGCATGTGAATTTACCATATGCTCCAGATCAGATTTCCTACTGTGAAAAAGCTGAGATGGCTCAAGCATATGATGTGCAATAAACCACTGTTTTTCAGTGTCCTCTTCTCTAAAAATGCCTTTTGTCTGGTGATTGTAAGTGCAGGTTTTTGGGAGGATTGCCATAAGTTCTTGTATCTTTTTTTCATTTATTTTATTCGCCCAAGAAATCTGCTTTGGAAAATCATGGTATAGTGCTAGAGAACTGTCCACATTTAATACCAAGAGCTACCCACGTGACTGCATTCTTCACACATTTAACAGAGGCTATTTATTAATACTTGAGATTTGCAGAGAAATGAGTAACATAATCAATGCTGTTGTTTGCTGTTGTTTGTCGTAATATGTTTAGATTATTTTAAAACTACACTTCATTCTCCCTTTTTTTTTTCTTTTTTTGGTATCCAGACATAAAAGCAGTAGAAATAGCTGGTATTACAGATGAGCCACCTGTCCCACGAGGCTTGCACTTGTAGCTTTTTAGTCTTAAATTTAATCACAGTAAATAGGAAGAGTCTTTTTCTTGTCACACTACACAGACTTTCCAAACTATGCATTTTTCAGAACACAGGTGTTGTATGCAGAGCTGAAAATGCTTTAATTTGTAAAAAAAACAAACCACACAAAGTTCAGTTTGACAGTCAATTCCACGACAGTCAATATTTCATCTTGTTGTTACAAAACTAAGCCATTATGTCACAACAAAGCCTAGAGGTGTTGAAAACTGAATGCCTTTTTGGATTTTTGCAAGGTGAGAAAAAACATGTTGTGGACAACATCAACAAGGGTGCAAGTAATTGAGATCTGACTCTACTTAGATTTGTTGACTTACTGTGAAAATTCAATGCTCAGTATAAATCAGGATTTTTTCTTATATGTGTTGATACGGGCAACTGGTAATATCACAAAAAATAACGTAGCCTGCAGGTCTTAATCATGTGTGTTGTTCCTGGACATAGTTCCACATGGCTCCATTAGGAAGAAAAAAAAAAAAAATATTTATGGGAGAAAGGAGCACAAGGTCAGACCTATAAGAAACATTTAAGATTTTCTAAGAATATCTGAAATTCAGCCTGCCACTCTTAGTTGTCAATAGCCTTGCATAGAGTACCTAGACAAGGTTTTCATCTGCCACAGTTGGAAAAAGAGACTTGATGTGCACCCTTGTGATACAGAGGGAAAAATCCCACTTGCCACCTTGTAGGAGGCACGAGGTATTTCATGGTGTCATTAGGACTGGAAAAGACCTCTAAGGTCACCAAGGCCAAAAATCAGCCTAGCAGCAGCACTGCTGAGGCACGTCCCTCAGCACCACATCCACACATTATTTCAGTACTCGCAGGGAGGGTGATTTCACCCCTGGAAATGTCAGCCTGTCTCAGTGTTTGACCGCTCTGCTGCTGCTGAAATTTTCCCTAATAGGCAATCTGAAGCTCCCCTGTCTTGTCACAGAAATCTGAGCAGGGGTGGTGTTACCCACAGGCTCCACTCCAGCAGAGGTGGAGCAGCACAGGACAGACAGATACAGGACAAACTTCTCTGATTATGGTAATCCTGAACCGATTTAATCCCTAGCTGGATGCAGAAGTGCCTGGCTGAGACCAAGCCCACAGGCAGAAAAGCATGTAATTGCATTGCCCCCAAAGCAACTTGGCAGAGAGGCAGTGACTTAAAAATAAAATATCCCTCCCAGACTGTCCCTTGTGCTGGATGGAAGTGAAGTGATATATGGCTCCACCTGGGGTGATGCACGAGCCAAGAAACATCAGTGTCGTTGTGACATCAGGTGTGCTGGCAAATTATGCTTCTGCTCATTCTTCATCTTCATCCACCTCTTGCCACTTGTCTGCACAAAATGGGTTTTTATTGGTTCCTTAGAGCTCACTCATGAATTGCACATAAAGCTGTGATAACTCCTGAGCTTAAAAGAAGAAGAGAGTGACCTCCTCCTCCTCCTCCTCCTCCTCCCAGTTTTAATCTGGGAGGCAAAAGGTCTTCATTTTGCAAATAGGAACACGGCTTTCTCAAAAGCAGTTTATATGTTTTTTAGCATACTTAACCAAGAAATTATTGACACACAAGAGGAAATTATGAAAAATACCATCTTGGAAGGGAAGCTTCCACTAACATTTATTTACAAGAAGTCATGACTTTAGTGTTATGACTAAGTGGATAATATTGTACATTCTAATTCAAAATCTTTCTCATAATTTCTATATGGCATAGTGAAAGTGAGAGCATTAATATTAAGCTCCTTCTATGTAAATTAATAGGAAAAATGATAGCATGGAATTTAGAGATTAACAGACTTGCTAATATCTGAATCAATATTGCAAATCACGATAGCAGATCTGGCTACTTATTTCTTGGGGAAAAAGAATCAACAAACTAATACCACCATTTAGATGTAGCAAAGAATACCCCAGTTTTTTCTGGCTTGTTTACTTAGATCACTTTTTGTTTGCCTGGAGACATAAATGATCCCCATAGAGTGAAACGCTGTCACCTTTTAAGAGAAAAACCTGAAATATTAAATGAATATTATTAGTGGAGACCTAATAGTCCATCAGGGCTGCACTGCTGGCATTTGCTGAGCAGCAGGCTCAAATGCAGACTGAAGGAGGAGCCCAGCTGATGCTGGGCTGTCCCCAGAATCCCTCAGAGTGGGAAGCCCTCTGGTCCATGCCAGTGTTGCTCCATCCCTGAAAAGCATCCTCCTCTCAGCTCACCAAAATACCTCTCTGCAGCTGACAAATTTGTGCTAGCAGACAAAAATAACTGCAGGGGAAGTTTACAAGTGCTCGTCTGCGTGTGTATAAATAAATGTTGCTCTTTCCAAATTTACCCAGGGTATGCACCTTTCCTGTACCCTGGGGCCCACCAGTAACTGCAGGGTCCCAAAACACCACAGTGTGCATCAGAGATTAAATTGAACTGTGCTAGAAAAATGCCTGGACTTGGCATAAGAAAAGAGAGGTGATTTTAGGCACAGGACAGAGGACAAGGTCAGGGAAGGGTAAGGTTTGTCTCAGCAGCAGAGAGCTTTGGTGTCCTTGGACAGGTTTGCACCTCAAGTCCTTCTCCCCTTTATAAAACAATTCTGTAGCATCTGCTTATCTCTCTGTCCCTCTGTGCTGCTGTTCAGACTGCATCTCCCTCAGGATAATTCCTTTTGAGAATGTAAAAAGATGCAATCTGCAGTAAAAAATAGGTGTTATCTGATGGAACTGTGTAGCTGTCGTTGGGAGTCAAAATGAGACTGATTTTCTTCTGTGTGAGCAATATGGCAGGGATCAGAAAAGATGGAAAAGAGCAGAAAAGATGGAAAAGACCTCCAAGTCCAGCCATCAGGTACCTCCTAATTTGGGCATACTCACTGAATTCCAAGACTCACTTGGACCCACCTTTGTCATGAACATTCTTGCTTGGATGATTTTCAACTTTATTTGAAGGACCTTATGTCCCTAAGTTTTTG